CATACGCGATTTCCGATAGTCAAGAATATCAGCGCTATTTTCACGCTTGTCGACTCAACTTTGTTGCAAAAATTATATTTAAAAAAAATAAATCGATAATATTTTAAGTTAAAATTTATGCTTCCGTGTTTTTGCAACATCCCCATTTATATTCTGCAAATTGTTTTATTTTGTGACAACATTAACATATAAAGCGCAGTGTTAATTATAAGAGTAATATATTTTTGAAAATATAAATTTATAAATTAGATTATTTCAAAACAAGACAAATATTAAGCAAAATTTTTTAACATTTTTATTACAAATTTGTAAGTCAATCTAGAATTGACTGATTCTTAATGAAAATATTAACATTTTCAAATTACCGATTTAAGATATGAAATGTAAAATTAGCTTCCTTTCAGAATAAAATAAATGATAATATATTTTTTAATTAATAAAGTAAAAAAATTGTATTTAAAAATTACAATTATATATGCATAGTGATAAAAACTGAAAAAGTAAAATAAATAATGATTTTTTTTAACATTTTATTAAGAAAAACTTGTTTTTTGATAAAAAAAAATATAATCTGTTATAATACATGTCCCAAATAAAATCTTGTTCTCTTGGCAAAAGTTTCTCCATTTTATATCACAGATCAATGACAAAAAAGTATACAATAATTCAAACAATACAATTGTATTGTAAGTCATATTCTCAATGTATTATCTTTTTTTTGAAATTATCGGTTACGAATTTCCATAAATTCAATCATAATATATAGTAATATGCGATAAAAATCGTATCTCTGATTTGATTGACTGAGACCGTTTGCTATTTTTTTTTTTTTTTTGTAGTTGTCTTCTCTCAAAGTGATAAGTGGCAGCTGTTCTCTTTAGAATAATAAGTATAGGCGGCGGGGCGCTGATCTATTTCGGGCTGGGGGTTAATATTTGATGACGGCAGGGTTGCCATCAGTGTATCTAAAAATACGCAATCAATACGACTAACTACATGTTAAAATTAAGCTCGCATGCGCGTGTGAGCATGCGATACTTCAGGATTATCACCCTTGTCAAAGGATTAATTTCGCATGAACATGCATACAACGACTAAGAATTACACGTAATGTTAAACGCTTACGTGCCATGTAACATGATAATAGTATTATCTAATGGCAGAAGATTATGTTTGCATTGAAATATGGTAATTAAAGAAAAAGAATTTCCAGTTTCCTGTACTTAATTAATCTCGATAACTAAAAGTTAATTTTTAATTTAATTTATTGTTGTAACAAACGATATCTTTGATCCAATAAATTTTATATTACTAATATGTAAATTCCATTGTGTTTTCTAAATAAATAGCAGAAACTTCTCTTTCGGTTCACTCACAGAAATATTCAATCGAATATATAATCGAAATTCAACGTACAAAAAATAATAAATGGCAACTATAATATGTATTTCGATTTGATATACTGTATGTATGTATAAACATCACTGTAAATGTGTTCATACGAAAATATCATAACTTTTCGCTAATAACGAATCGCTTTTATGATACCTGGCAGGTGTTCAGAGCACTTTGACATACTCGCATTTACACCTTCAAAGCCTTTTTTCTGGCGACGGTCGGGCTCGTCTCGATTTCTAAAATCGTCTGCATGAATGTAGGAAAGCAGGCGAATAAAAACGAGAAGCCGATAAACAGTTGAATAAATCGCGAGGGCATTTTCAAGGCTTTACTTGCCTTGAACAATCCTGCGCTTTCAAAGCGTAGAAACTAATATTAGATTAATGAAACTTCATAAGGATTGCGAAAGAAGACGTTAACAACAAACTTAATAGTCCTCACGATTATTCCAGTTTAATTTTCTGAGAAAATTCCTCAAGTACATTGCAATTCAGCACATAACGACTTGTTTTCGAATTGTAAGATTTCGTTTATGATACAGCTACGTAGTTGGTTTAAAATTGTTTTTCACATCGCAAAATATATGCAAAGCATCATGAATATTTTGAAATTCAACGTATACAATATGTATCACTTTTATATTAAAAAGTTTTTTTAGAGTATAAAACGCTTAAAATGATTAAAAAAGATAAAATTTTCTATCAAAAATATCAAAGTTCAAACCAATTTAAAACACGTGATTTTCATCAAACTAAAATGAAAAGTAGATATTTTACAATTTCCCATTTTTATCTTTTAACAGTTAATTGTCTAAATTATTTTGACAATGATTTTGATATGTATTCTTTTAATACATTATGTTCGTATATTAACGTACACTATATGCCAGAAATTGTATCATATAAAAAAAATATAATTTTCAATAATCCATTCTATTATTATAAATATTCCAAAAAATATTTTATTTTTCAAATTATCTTATTTTTAATCTTATTTTTCAAATAATTTACATCGACGATGTCTCTCTCTCTCTACATGTTTCTAAAACACACGTAGTAATAATAAAAGAAAAGATTTCCTATGTATCTTGATATTATGTTAGATCTCGAAAAACAGTTGATTCTGTTAGCATCACGTCGTCATCTTCGGAGGTCTCAAAGGCTTCGCAAATGCAGCATGTACAAACGTGATCGGATGTTTCCATACAACTGACCGGGAGTTTCCGTACTACATTTTATCTTAGATGCAACTAAATTGTTCCGTCTTCTCATGATTACACCTTACATGCATACATCACACACATACACTCACGCACGATCGTGTCTATTCTTTAACTTCTTATTTACGTACCGATCTACACACCATTTGTATCTGTATCTGTTAAAGAAAGATAGTAAAAGAGTGATAGCTGCTTGCTTGAAATCTTGATATTACAGCCTGAAATTGCTTCAAATAATCTCTAAGTATTAAAATTTGCTATTAATTATCAAAACATTTTAACTGTCTGATATTTATTTAGTAGATAGTATTTCTAATATTATATTCTTATTTTTAAACTGCATTCATTTTCAATAATTTTCAGTAATGTAAAAATTTATAATGATAAATACAATGAAACAGATTATTCTTATAGTCACGGCGATCGTAGCATTAATTACAATTTTACATGTAATTTATAACTATCATTCTGATGTAATCTATTTACTATTATAAAAAGAGGAAAAATGTCAATTAATCTGTAATTTTATCAATCACAATAATACCATAATGCATTACAGCAAACTTCAATTACAGCAGTTAATAGTTTAAATCTATAGAATAATTACAAGTAGTGATCGCGATTAATAAAATAAAATTACTGCAATTACCACTAATTACTACCCTATTACGATTAATTTATGTGATTCTACAAACGTAACGATCGCATTAACTATATCGATTTCTCATTTCTAGTCTACAAGTAACGACGTCAGTCAATTAAGAGAAAACCGCATTACTGCTAACTATTTTACATATAGAAATACTAAAAATTATTATTTCTATATGTCTCCAATTATATTGCATGTATAATTAATATAAATTATTACGCGCATAAACTGTGTAATTATTATAATTATAAATATTGTATATTTCAATTAATTCATGTGTATAATCCTACAAATGTAATAATTGCAAAAATAATTACAACAATTTTATAATTCTAATTAATAAAGTAAGTACAAATAATAATCACAACTAATAAAAAGATTATCACGATTTTATTGCCAATTTTCTCATATTCTGATTAACTTGCGCGTATAATTTTACAATTATAATACTAATTATATGTATTTCGCGTTTCTAAATATAACTATAAATAGAAATATAATCTTTATATTTCATGCAAACGATTAAAATATAAAGATCTGCACGACAGCAATAATGCTACGATTGCACGGAGTTCACTTGACAAAATTGTCACATATTTGGATGTATCGTCGTAGTATATGTAAATCTTGACGCGATTATTGATACGAGACAATGCTACGATCGCGCGAAGTTCACTTGATGGAACAATCACAAATTCGCTATTAATTTATATAAAATATAATTTTTTCTTGCTCATCTGTAACGGATTTTCGATTATATGCACGCGATCAAATTGCTTGAAATCTTGGATATTTAATAAAAGATACGCCAATCTTTTTCTTTCAATATATATATATATTTAATAAAATTTAAAGATTCATAAAAATCTCTTTCTATTATATATTGACTAAAAGAAAGAATAATGGAACAATAGGAAAACAAATTTTAAAAATTATTGCATTATTATACCCATTAATAAAATATTTTAAATATAATCAATTTATATAAATGATTCATTTTTCATTCGACTGATAAATTTTTCGATAAAGTATAAAAGTAACGATCTTTCTTTTTATCCAAAACTTTACAAAATATAGTCCCATCTTTATTCGTTCAGCTAACATAAAATAAAGTAACAAACATTTTTATTTAATCATTCATTAAGTTGTACATGATGTACGTCTTTAATCTAATTTCTGTCAATTCTTTCGGACTTTTCTCTATGCGTGACCGTGAACTCCAAAGCCATGACTGTGTTTGGTTAAAGAAAATCAATATGCATCACAAGTACAGCTTCATTTGTGCGAAAACAAAGGCTATCCTTAATACCAAGACGTAGCATCACGATGACGTCAGAATCGTCATGGCAACTCCCTTTGATGCACCTACACTATACGTATTATCACAAGTTTAATCTATTAAAGCATAAGATTCAACCGATTAGAGAATTAGCTTCTATTAGTTTTCCGTGTTTAACCATTTTTGAGAAAGAAACGTATGCATATATATATATATATATATATATATATATATATATATGCAACAATATTGTGAACATGAAATAAAAATGCTTGGAATATCAAATTAAATATATTGTTATACATATACGTAATAAGATAAAATCTTTGTACATGAGGCACTTCATATATGTAAAATTAACTGTGTAGAAATTACACTTTTCCTCTTATGTAAATTTTACAGAAACCTTTTTTAAAAATTTAAATGAAAATAAAATTAAAATACAGTCTTTTAATCTTTATCTTAACTTTTAATATTTAAATTAAAAATTAATCTTTGGATAAGTTAAAGTTAAGTAAAGTTAAGTATTGGTAAAGTTAAGTATCAATTAAAGTATTATTGTCTTATAGTCTAAACTGTAAACAATTCAGTTTGTCACAATTAAGAACATCATTCTATAATATATAAATAAAAAAATAATAAAATAAATATCCTTTGCTTAATTAACATAAATATTTTCAAATGTAAAACAAAACGTTTATTAAATTGTAGCATTTAAATCTCTAAAATCAGTTTCTGTAGTTATATTACTGAGCGTCGTCCATATCTTTTCAAACTCCTCTACAAACGGTTTAACTAATGCTGGCTCATTAGTCACTATTAAATTTTCAAAATTTCCAAAAAATGCTGATTTTGTCCAGTTTACACTACCGGTTATTAAAATGTTGTTATTGATAATAACAAATTTATGATGCATCAAGACATCTAATCGTTTCGACTTTAGTTTAATACCTATAAAAAAAAAACGATATGACTATGTGATATAAATCATATAGTTTATTATATATGTTTATTATATGTTTAATGGTAATTTCAAATCATAGATGTATTCTAAACTTAATTATATATTCATATTTCATAATGCTTATCACAAACCTTCTTTATAAAAATTCATTATTTGGCTTGTATCATTTTGTGACATAGACTCATCTAATATTATTCTTACAGTAACATTTCTTTCCTTGGCTTTTATAATTGCCTCTGCTAACTCTGGGAATGTAAAGAAATATACACATGCATCCAAAGTATCGGTTGCAGAATCTAAATATTTTATAATCTTCCTGCAAGTATATCAAATATTTTATAGAATAATAGCTATCAAGCTATGAGAAAGAAATGATTATATAATTTTTGTTTTATATCTTATTTTATATCATTTGAGAAATTACCTCAAGTGTCTTACTGGACAATTAACTTTTTCACATGATGTCATATATCCCAAGTGTGATCGACATAAAGAAGAATCTTTTGAAAAAAACATGACTTCGAAGATATTTGTTTTTGTTCTTGTATTTTTGCAAAACAGTTTAGTATCACCATTGGAAACATTAACCTTAACATTAACTTCTCTTCGAGAACGTTTATATAACTTATATAAATGCCATGCTACTTCTATCGCAAGGATACCAGAAGTGACAGTTATTATGACAGTTCTCATTTTGAAGTCAGAACTTAAGCAACTTGAAAAAATCCTCTGGGAGAAGCTTTTGACTCACTGAGAGAGAGCTTTTGATACAGCGTAAAGATCTTTTGGTTTAATATAATGAAGATCTACTATAACATTGTATTTCGAGAAGAGTATTCAGCTCTTTTGATCTTCTGATTTAATATAAAACGAATCACGTACAAGTATATACGTAATACATAAATCTCAGAAATTATTTCAGAGAAAACCTGATTATATCAACAAATCCTATGTTCAGTGAGACAGTAAACCAGATCAGTGTGATAATCACAGAATTATTCAACATACGCTATTTACAAGTGTCTATAAAATATCGAATAATTCATCAAGCAAGGTGCATCACTAATATCACGAATAATCACAAACAATTGAATAAAACAAAAAAACAATCCAAGAGACGAAGGGCTTTTTCCCCTCCAATTTTGTTGCTGCTGATTTGTCTGTTGAAATACAAAAACGATGTTGGCATCCTGAATAGTAATACTTTTTAGCTATGTAATGTGATAGAAGATAAATAAAAAAATTACGACGGTTTGTTTATATATTTTTGCTCATATAATGGCACAATTAAGTGAGGAAAAAAGTGACGAATCTGACTGGCCATGCCATCTCGATAGTTCTAGTTCTTCCTATTATAAAATGCAACGATTGGTACGCTGTTCGATATATCGAGCGTACAATGCAAGTTTTTGTTCGCCGAACGTCGGGTGAATTTCCATGTGTGTAAAATTTTATTTTAATATTAAATACATGCGCCTTCGAAACTTTGAGCAGAAAAATAGCTCACCTTCCAAAGATGACGAATGTTCAAATTCATTTATAGGTTAGGAACGAATATCGAGCGATCTCGCCAGGTCGATCTCCTTCGTTTCGTCTCGCCACGTCGAGTTTCGATAGATATCGAGGTTTCTGGCAGATCCGGAGGCAAAGATGTCCGTTGGTGCGGCGAAGCGAAACATTGTCAATCGCTCGGCTGGACGTGTCTGTGAGTAAATATCAGCTGGATGCGCAGCGCGAGTCTACGACGACGTGCCGACGTGCGAGCGCGACGACAGTAGGAACGATCTTTTTCGTTGGTGTGCGAGAGAGACGCGACACGATGGGTCTCTTCCCGACCTCCTCGCCCTTCGACGCTGACGTCGGTGAGTAATCGCCCCGTTTTTCTCGCCCGATTGATATCACGGCCGAATGTCACTTCACACCCGCCCTCGAATCATGCTCCAGATCCTTGACGATCGGAAACTCGTGATTATCCTTCACGATGATCCGTGCAAGGAATGCGCCTCTTTTCTGCATTGAGTGCATTAAGGTTGTTGACATTTGACCTCCGGCTGCATCATCTGTTCTATTCCTCTACCTCGAAATCCGGATTCTCGCATTTTCTTCTCACGGCCGATTTTTGCTCGATGTTCGTCGCTCCTTGATTTTCCTTCGGTGTCGCAATATGATTATAAAAAATGTCTGTTTCTTTGTTATAGCCTTATCTGCGACGCCTACTTAAATCATGTTATTGTCCATCGTAGCTATCTTAGTCTCTGTATTTTTATTGAAAAGAAAAATTTTCTAATGTTTCTTGATTATGTCAATGACTATTGTATGATATATCATTTCTTAAACATCACTGTTTGATTATGTGTTATGTGCATCAGAAAAAGCAACCAACGAGAACAATGTAACGGAAGAATGGGGAAAGATAATGGATATCTGCGACAAAGTGGGTACCTCCAGTCAAAATGCTAAGGACTGTTTACGTTCTATTGTTAAGAGATTGTACTGTCAAGATCCTCATGTAGTCATGCAAGCTATAACCGTTAGTATATTGTTTCTCTAGTATTCAATCTTAAAATGTATTCAAATCTGTAATTAATCATCTTTGATTTAGTTGTTGGATGCTTGTGCCAGCAATTGTGGAAAAGTTTTTCACTTGGAAATTGCATCCAGAGATTTTGAAAATGATTTGAGAAAGCTTATTAACCATCCACAACCGAAAATAGTAGATAAAATCAAAGCACTTTTGAAAAAATGGGTAGAAGGTGATTTCAAGACGGATCCGCAATTGAATCTGATTCCAAGTTTGTACAATAAACTGAGAAGTGAAGGCCACGATTTTTCTTCTGTCTCGGATACGGTGAGTTTTTATACTACATTATATTTTCCTCATCCTGTTCACACTTATCCCAAAGTCAAGTATTGACTTTACATGCCCAGACTGCATTATTTAAATCAGTCAGATAAGACTATCACTTGTTGACATTGCTTATCCTTCTTTCGGCAGAGGGAGAGCTTGTATGTCATATCATATAATTACTTTACATCACATGTACTTTGAATAAATTAATTTATTAATCGTATGATATTAATTTGCTTTTAAATTTTATCTTATATATGTAAAATGTAATATCTTTTAGCCAAAACGTTCTAGTACTCTGAGCAAAGATCCTAACGTAGTAACAAATTCACAAGAGGAATCAGATATTGCGAAAGGTACTCATGCAATATTATTATTTCTATTATATATTCATAATGTTTTAGGTATATTATTCTATTATATATTATAGTTTTACAGTTTTTATATAGACAATATTTTTACAGCCATACAACTTTCGCTACAAGAAAGTAAAGCGCATACTCAAAGCACTTCATCGCATAGTTCGCCAGCTTCTAAAAAAAGTACTAGTTTATATCCTAGTGTGAATTCTGTGCTTGGAGCTTCAAGTACAACTTCAGAAGGCAGGAAAGTACGTGCTCTGTATGATTTTGAAGCTGCAGAGGATAATGAATTAACATTCTTAGCAGGAGAAATAAGTATGTATATCAAAAAGAATTGTAATACATGAAAATACAAAAGCACAAAGAACATACATGATAAATGTTTAAATAAATTTCTAATCGATTTTTTAGTTAATATTTTGGATGATTCCCATCCAAATTGGTGGAAAGGTAGCAATCAAAGAGGTGAAGGGCTTTTTCCCTCCAATTTTGTTACTGCTGATTTGTCCGTTGAACCAGAAGAATTTACAAGTAAGATACATACGAATTAACAAAATTTTCGGATGTAGTCGAAAATTTAAGTATCAAATTATATATTCTCAATAAATATTTGTATGTATTTATGTGCAGAATTGGAACATAGCAATAAGAAATTAGTGCAATTTGCAGAAGAAGTAGAAGTTAAAATGGTAAAACGCGAACCTGAAGTGGTCGAAGTTGAAATAGATGAAAAGAAAATGGATAGATTATTACATCTACTTCATGAAGCTGATCCTCAATGTGATACCTCTGATTCTCAGGAAATGCTTGATTTAGAAGGTAATTATGAATCTTAATGCAAAATATTAAGTTAAAAAATGAAAAAAATGTATTGATATTACATTTTTCTATTGATCTATTGATTTTGCAGAACAAGTTACGGCAATGGGGCCCTTGATTGACGCGGCTTTGGAAAAAGTAGACAGGCGGCATGCGCAGCTTACTCAATTAAGTTCCGATTTGGTTGATGCTCTTAATTTGTATCATACCCTGATGAGAGAACCTCCGACGCCGTCTGGCTACACTTTGCCTAAAATGCAGCCGCATATAAGTCCATATCCATTCCACAATCCGGGACCACCACCACCACCACTACCGACGCACGTAAGTCTTGACAGACTCTGAGTAACGACATTTACAATAGCGCGAGATATTCTGATATTGCTGTATTCTTCAACAGATGTTTAACGGTATGCCGCCTTCTCCATTCCCTACTGCAGCTGCCTCAGGTCCGGTGGGGCCGTACAACACAAGTTTGCCGAGCAACGAGTATATGGGTCCTACCAATATGCCAAATATGACTTTACCACAACATTATCACGTTCAATCTAGACCCCATCATCCGCCTGGACATCCACAGGGGTCATCTTTGCCGCCGCCTGATCAAAATAGCCTTCCTTATCAACCACAGGGGTACGTTTGAGTTATTTTCTTTTTATCACAATGCTTATCTTAAAATTTGCTCTGTAATCAGAATAATTATAAGTCCAAGAATATATATTTTCAAGTTTTTGTCGCAACATTTCTTACAGATAATTTACAATGTTACACGCTCACATACATATATATATTTTTTATTACATACAGTATTAGCGCTTATTGCATTATGTTTTATTGATTACAATGAATGTTGAATGTTATAATTATGTTCTTGTTTTTCTTTTTATATAAGAAATGTTTATTTTTAAATTAATATAATTAGATGTGATGACAAGAAATGTTTATATTATATAGCAGATATCCACCTCAAAGCGGCCCAGCACCCGGGCCATATGGTCCACCTGGACCTGCAGGACCATCTATAAATCAACAATCACAATATGCTCCACCAAACGGGCAACACATGATGTAAAGCAAAGCTATACGTTACAAACTCATCTTGTACTCTAATTCAAGTTGTACAATATTACTATATTATAATTATTTAAATAAACATACCCAAAGTAGCCAAAGATAATGGGTTTTCAATAAAAATTTTATGTTTGGATCTAGGCACTACTGTTTTAAGCATATATAAGCGATTAGAAAAAAAGCAAAGCAAAAAGTGACTTATATTGTCTTACATATTGTCTAACACATTTGCATTAGTTTTATTATTGTTAAATATTTGTATTGATTCAGATTATTCAATTTTAATTTATACATTCCTTGGCCCGATTGATTTTTATTATTTGATTATTATTTGATTCATTATTAAAATATTCTCTCATTTTAAATGTTAATGTATTTATAAAATTATGTTAAATCCCACATACATTTCTCTTCATCTTACATAATACACTTTTACTCTATATTACAGTTTTTTATATATATAAATATAAAAAAATTAATTCTTCGTGCTTTGTTCTACATCTAAGTTGTAAGCGTTGTCACATATGTGTCATAAATTGTAAATTACGCATTTTGAAAATATTATATATATATTTTGAATAATATGTCTCTGCAAAAAAAATGTCATAAAAATACATGAAATATGAGATTTCGGAATCTGTATGAATGGAAAGCTCAACGAATGTTTTATAATTTTCTACTCTGCCATTGAACCTCGATCAAGTGATTACAAAATGAGGATTGCAGCGTGATTACTAGGAAACGAAGTGATATTATTGTTAAAAAACAATGTTATAATCACAAGTGTTAAAGCACTTTTAATTGTCGAACGACAGTTTAAATACCTTTTGCAAGAAACTGTCTCAATATGGTCTAGTCTCTCTTCATTATGTACAATAAGATTAATTCCTATTAATTGCTTAAAAAATAGTGAGACTGCGAGAAACTTTTTATCGATTGTTAAATACTAAGTGATATTTGTACATACGACGAAACATCCCGTCTCAAATATAACGAAAATGGTCAACGCTTTTTGGCCATTATTTACAATATATTAAAATTGTCATTATGTTAATATGTTTATCATTCTTTAAGAACACTGCATATCGGCATAATTGTTTAAAGTGTTCGACTTTTAATATAAAAGATAAAGAAGACAAAAAGTATGTAAAAGGTAAACATTGATATTACGGATTTTTAAACATTGATATTACGAAACTTACGCCTCAAATCTAGAAACATAATTTAAGGCATAATTTATGAAGGCAAAACGTCTGTTAACGTTTTGTAAGTGTTATATTATACACCGTACGTGTATTTAAGCGAATGAAGATATGGAAACGAGATAGAAATTAAAAGCGAGATGAGTAACAGGTCCTATGGAGAGTAGGCGCAATTTATGCTGTGTATGTTACGTTACCATTAAAGTGGCTTTATTTACATAATTATCGCTTTATTCCTTCTTCCAAAAATATAGATTTATTTGGCAGATGAAAATCGCGGGACAAAAAGCGATGGTATACTATGTAAATATTGTAAAGAAAAAATACATTTTTCGAAATGTTACGTGCTCCCTGACTAGTATCATGTTTTTCCCATATTACAATAGTATTGACAAACCTTGACGAAATGCTAAGAGTATAATGTGGTATGATGGGAAAGTGTTAGCAAATAAATATTAATTATCATTTAAAGTGCGAAAATTATTTACAAAATTATATAATTCAACATCCAGTTGACATCCAATATTTTGGTAATAATAAAAAATGCTGCTAATGTTACTAATAATTATTATTTCATCGAAGATTTCAAATTCTTGTGTATGATACATTATAGGCTACATGAGTGGCATGCCATTTGTCGCTCTTAACTGAACAACATAATAATGCATATCATTCTTGCCGATTACAAACTATAATTAATGAAGAAATGAAATTTTTTTATTGCCGTATCGACTTCTAAATCCATCATATGTTGTATACATAAAAAGATGCTTATTAATTTTTCGCTCTTTTTTTCTGCCGCGCCTGTCATGTTGACCTTCCGATACTTTTACAGTAACAATCACTTCTTAATAATAGTCTTTAATAATACACGAGAATTATTTAAAATTTCATAATGGGCTGCTTCGCAGCGTGAAGATGTACATGTAGATATACAGGGAATAATATAATTCCCCGTAATAGAAGATTTACGATCGATGGAACAATGAATTAATGATTGGAAAATCTCGCCAACAAGTCCCGTTATTAATCGTTTGTTTTTCTTATATAACATGTAGTACGCATCCGCATGCATAAATCTTAATTAATTTTTGCTCTCGTGCATAATTTTTATTTCTTTTTTAATTTATATATGAAATGTGAGTTTTATAAACAATTTGTAAAAATAGAATTATATGTTATAACGTATAATTATATTGTAATTCTTTTTCATTTTATATTCTATTTAAATTTATGTTACATTAATGTTGTATTGTTCATACGTTATATTGCGTATTTATTAATTAAAATTTTCTGATTATATATATCACATAAGTTCAAATTGATAAATAGATAATATATTAATAATATATAATAATAATTTATGAACAATTGCGTGTAAAAATTTCCTATAGCGATTTTGCAAATATCTATGCTTCACGCTTGAATAACATAAGCATTATTTAACGTGCTTGATGAACGAATAATAGCACGTATTTAACATCTAATGCATTATTCGCTGAAACGTGAGAAAATTTATATGCAATTGCCTACAGCTTATAAGAGAATGTATAAATGTTTAATTATTCTAATGGTATTTAATTATTAACGTACACAATTTAGTGAAAAAGTGGATTTTTCTAATTGACACTTCATGGCAATACGTTGTTAAGTTGATCTTATCGATTTTTCTTCAAAAATGATGAATATTTAGATAATTATATTCGTTTATATTTTCCATTCTCTAATGATATTCTTTTTATAATTTTGTTAATATTATAATTAATGATTATATTATTAATCAAGAGCGAGAAAATTATTATTCATATATTGTTTTCTTGCTCTTGATTGTTATTTTTGTTTCATGCGTCACCTTTTTTATTAATTATTCATGACTCATGTCACTTCACATATTGAACGATACATTGATAATAGATCGACGCAACTTCCTTATAACTGTTTTATTGATAACATCGTTAGAATAATGAGTAGATTTCCTTGGCAATGGCATTTCTTAGATCGACAATGGACCAAGCAACCTTGGCATTAACATTCTAGATTCCTCGGTTTCGTTTCCAAGCCGCAGACAAGACACTTCGTGACTATCAATCATGATAGCCGAGCTGCCGTATAAAATATCCAGTCATGCAATAAAAACAAAAAAAATGCTAACTTACTCTTCTTCTCTTACTCACTATTCCTTATCAGTATCAGTGATCATTCAGTATCAATATTCCTTGTATATGTTTAAATCTATTAATCATTATTGATTGAACTTGGAAGAAAAATGCAACTTTTTAATTAAAAAATTAAAAAATTAATTAAAAAAATAATAATCCAATAGAATTTTAGTTTGAGACTTACAAAAATACGTACTAAACATTGAAAATCTTTCTCTTTGATATTAATTTATTATAGAAGAACAAATTAAATTTTCTCAATTCAAGTCGATAAAAGTCTTTGTCGGAAGATCTTCATCGGATTTTCCAGTCTCTTTTGCTTAATGTTCTGAATACCATTATTCTCGAATTGGAATTTCTCTATCAAGGCAATGTTTTGTTCTATCATTTTTACTACTCTCGTATGTAGCCCAAGGCTGCCGCAATTATTTTTCTAGGTCTAGGATCGGCTCATCTCAAGTCAGATTTGCACGAATGAGCTACAGTTCAATGATTTTGACAATAGTAACAATGAACGCAAAAATATTTGCATTACTTTTCGCGATTGTCTAAATACTTTTGGTATTATAATATTAACATGAAATTAATTTTAATAAAAAATAAATTAATAAAGTAGATTAAAAAATTAATATCTAATGATGTTATATTAGTCATCATACAATATTCTTATAATCTCTTAAATATTAAAATATCTATTTATGAAATATTTACAATATAAATTACAATTCAGATGCAAGGATTCACTTTTTAAACTGTCAATTTAAATTCGATTGGAAATACAAAACATCTGGCTGGAATGTGCTCTACGATTTCGAAATTTATAAATTTGGAAACATCCTGATGTTGCGTATATTATTGTTTCTGCAATTTTTTCATATAATTCGCCGTGATTAATAAAAAGAACCGCATTATCAAAATTATTATTTTAAGTATAATATCAGGAACAAAATCCTAAAACAAAATGTTGATTCTTTATATGTATGAATATAATATTACTTGTCTTCTTAAAAAGAATTTCGTGATAGCTTCTCCGCAGTTTTAAATAATCTCTTAGGAAAAAGAGCAATTAGAATAACGTTTCAAAAATCAAATGGCATTATCTGTACAAGATGAATATCTTTAATTCAATTTCAGCTTGTTAAGCAATATATTCCACATTGTGCAACAGCTTTCCTGCATCTTAATAAAGCAATTGCGTGCAAACTTTAACGCCATTAGCTAATAATTATTGCGAGTGTATGTATTAGTTCTCAAATTTCGCGATTATAGATAAATGCTCACTTCGAAAGGTCAGGTCTTTATCGGTCATCAGATTGGCTGTAGATTAAACAGTAGTGAAACGCGCCCGCGCGTCGCACGGAAAAGGTTGTACATTTTATTAGTGGTATATTTGATATTTAGCAGTGTTTGAAAGCATGAATTATGCGAATGATCAGCAAATTTATATAATATTACAGCACATATCTTCATAAGTTCATCAAATCCTCAAAACAACGATTTAAGCTTAATAAGTGTTAATCATATCGATAGTGTGAATAATTTTTTTTATTATATATACTATTCAAAAAATTATATTTTTAATGTTTATTATTGCAATGTTTGTATTAAGGAAATAAAAATATTGTGCCAATAATTTTTGCCATTATTCAATTTCAAAATCTATATTTTTGTGATTTCCCATATTTTAATGTAAAGATCTGCTTTAATATTTCAATACGTATAAAATTAACATTAAAAAGATTATAATTTTTTTTCTGCCACGACAATTCATTTCTCACATATATAAAATATATTAACTGATCGCCTATCTTTATATCCTTGACAAATCTGCG